GCCACACAGCCACACAGCCACACCAGCCACACAGCCACACACACACACAGCCACACACACACACAGCCACACACACACACACACAGAGCCACACAGAGCCACACAGAGCCACACAGAGCCACACAGAGCCACACAGAGCCACACACAGCCACACACAGCCACACACAGCCACACACAGCCACACACAGCCACACACAGCCACACACAGCCACACACAGCCACACACAGCCACACACAGCCACACACACACCCACACTTACACTTACACTTACACTTACACTTACTTACTTACTTTCTTACTTACTTACTTTTCACTTACACATCAAGTGAACAATGACTTCAGACGTCCTCCACGGCACTCCTCAAGAGAGCTATCTCCTGACAATGCTCTACTGGAAGCGCCGCAAGATACAAGCAGCAAAGCAACCAAAAACATACGTCACGGGGGGCCTCCAAATCGTCAGGGGTTGCATCCAAATCCTTCTGCTGCTCGTGGTCCTCCTCCTGCTCGTCGACTTCTCCGACGCTGGCACCACTACCCTGGACCCCACCACTTGTAAAACAGAAAGCCTCCATCAAGGATCTCCTCCGAAAGAGGAGGCAGATAAACGCCGTCCCCCAGGCCTCCAGAGCACGCATCGAGGCACGGATCGTTGTACATGAGCCGCGAAACCTGAAACATCCCGAAACCCCTCACCCTCTCTGGCCTGGTCAACCGGCGCTTCCCCGATCAACTCCGGCTCCAGCCACGGCTCGGGTTGCCTCGCATTTTGAGAAGCGAAGAAACGCAACCCTAATCCAGTCAGGAGTGGGGACAAGTGCGCCCAGGTGCTGAGAGACGAAGATGGACAGGAGCAAGCTCTCCGTCATGTCCCTGGCGGGAAGCGTATTCAAACACTTTCTGCAAATAGGGCCAGTGCATCCTACATCGCACGTTGCTCCCTTATCTCCCTTCTCCCTGTGATCCTTCTGCTCACAAGCCCAGGGCCCCGACAGCGACGGCTTGCGCTTTGCCGCGCGGCGGAGCTCGTCCGGGTGTAAAGCCTTGACAGACCCTAAACCCTAAACCCTAAACCCTACGACACGTCGATGGTTCAGGCCCGCATCTTCTGGATTTGGCCAGGAGCTGGCGCAGCAGCTGAAACCGACACAACGTCGAACGAGGGCTCCTGCAACCGCTGTCGAAGCACTGCGCGGGATGTGTGTTCATGTTGTGAAAACTTACTTCTGCGCAGTAAGCGCATATTCTGGCTTGGGGTTACAACCGTGTTTGGGCTAAAGGCTATGTGCTTAGTAATCTGACTCATTCTCTCCACCCCCGCCCTTCCCTCTGCTACTCAAACAGGATTTTGAGGGAAAAGTCACGGCATATCTCGGACTCAGCCTGTGGGCCAACTACCTGAGATTTATTATGTTTGTGGCCCATATGCTCCATGTCAACCGCCCAGCGCAGCTCACCTCCACTGCATGCTTCATCAGGGCACAGCGCATCTGCAGATCCTGGGCTCAGTTGCAAGCGGACGAACGTTAGCTTCCGCAACCCACAGAATCTCCTCATCATGGCGTGCGAAATTGCAATACGACGAAGGCATTCTTGCAATTGCCCCAAAAGTGCGAGACGCGACACGACATGAATGCACACCTGGGTGGTTATGATAACCGCCCCCCGAAGTCAAAGCAAAGGAATTTGACGTTGGTTTTTGGACTCCCTAGGCCCGTAACAAGCTTTCTGGCGAAGATGCTGTCTTCTCGCGATCCGTAAGCCCTGGTGCATCGAAGGACGGGCGCTTCTCCTGAGGCTTTGGATTCAAGGATGCTTGTAAACTCGCGAATGAAGTGCCTGAGGTGTCCTAAGTCCCTGCTAGCCACTACCTGCCCCTACCCCTTACCCCCTGCCCCCACTCGCCGTTTCTCAATTTCAGCCAGCCCTCCTCCTATGAAGTAGTTCCAGCGCAGCCCCCAAACCCGGTTCTCATTGCCCCCTCCCATTCCCCTGCCTTTCATCGCCCCCTTACGCTTTGTCGTGCCTGGGTGGCCTCTTTAGGAGGAGTCCCAGGTTATAATCAAGCATCATCGAAGGGGACCATAGACAAGTCATGTACATGTCACGGGAAAGCTCACCAGCCGTGGAAACCACCTCCGGCTTGATCTGAGAACTCAAAAATCCAGCCTGCCCAAGCAGAACCGGCACGCGGACAGATTCCAGCGCGTTCATGTCGCCGACATTGCCCGGCAACCTCTCTCTTTGTCTCATGAGGCTTCTCAAGGTGCGTTCCTTTTGCTGGGCTCCTTGCAACCAGACATACTACATCGAGCACTGTGGGTGCGGCGCTTCGTAAGAACAACTCGGCCCAAACACCCTCCGGCTACAACCCCCACCCAAATCCCAAACCCTAACCCTAAACCCTACACCCTACACCCTAAACCCTAAACCCCAGACATTCAACCCCTCTCTTGGGCCTCCTGGTGCTCTCTGGCTGCCTCGCACAGGATTGTCTGAGGGGTGTGGATGCTTTAAGGCTTCCGAACTTTGGGGGGTTTAGGGTTTAGGGTTTAGGGTTTAGGGTTTAGGGTTTAGGGTTTAGGGTTTAGGGTTTAGGGTTTAGGGTTTAGGGTTTAGGGTTTAGGGTTTAGGGTTTAGGGTTTAGGGTTTAGGGCCAAGGTGTGGAGAGGACCAGTGAGTCTCGGCTTAACCCACCTCCGAGAAGGGCCGCCCTCCATGCCCTCGTCCTCATCCTCATCAAACCTCACAGCAAACCCTAAACCCTAAACCCTAAGCCCTAAGGCCCTAAACCCTAAACCCTAAACCCTAATATCCGCCGAGGCCTCGGGCCGAAGGTGTATAGGTTGTCAGAACAGGCACCCCCCTCCAAATCCTCCCTCCAGGCCCAAAGCCACTTTTCGGCCCCCTTTTTTTGCCAAAAATGGGTACCCCCCCTAGGAGAGCAGGGGCCGCCAGCGGATGGTTCGCCAGGACCAGAGGCAGTTGCAGCCCTTCCCAGCAGGGGCCCCCCCCTTTCCCCCCCTCTCCCGCCCCTCCCCCCCCCTCCCCCCCCCTCCCCCGCCCCCCCCCCCCCCCCCCCTTCCCCCTCCCCCCCCCCCTCCCACCCTCCCCCTGCCCCCCCTTCCCCCCCCACCCCCCCTACCCCTGATGGGCTGGCTCCACCCTACGATTCTTGAACCCCACACCCAAAAAACCCTAAACCCCAAAGCGTGAACCTTGAGCCCTAAGCCCTCAATCCTAAACTAACCCTCAACCCTAAACCCCAAACCATAAACCATAAACCCGGAACCCTAAACCCTAAACCCTAAACCCAGCCCTTATTGCTTGGAGCCCAGCAACTTGGGCGCTCCGGAATCACCATGCTCACGCGGATGCGCTGGGCCGGGCCGAGGCGGGTCGCGTAGCGTTAAAATTAAAGTTGCGAGATTTCGAAGAGTATAAAGGTAATTGTTGGGTTTGGTTTGCACGCCTTTGGGTAGTTTAGGCCTTCAGTGCTCCAGGCACTGGGAATACCGAGGTTGGGTTGAGCCGATCTTGGGGTGCTTTCCCGAAACCTAAAAACCCAAGCAGCCCACAGACGCTGAACCCAAAAAAGACTTCACGATCCGGAACTTTGACAAGACGCAGGCACACGCGCACATGAACAGAGAAAAAGAAGCAGGAAGCCGTTTCCAAAACCAAGCCAAAGCACAGAGGCACGGCGTCATGGTCCGTGGAGCGTGTTTGCGGTCGAGAGGGAGCGCTCCCTTTCTTTCAAGAGGCGTCTTCTTCGTTTTTTGTCAAAGGAGGGGCATTGAGATGGATGGGCGAGACACTGGGGTTGATTTAGGGCTCAAGTTTCAGGACTCTGTTCGGGGGCCGGGCCAGGATTCTGCTGTAAGAACCCCCGTGCGGTGACCTGTCCTTTTGGGGCAACCTATTGGGGGACTTAGGTGCAACTTTGCAACCACATGACTGGCACCTCCAAACTGCTCCTCCAACTGCTCCTCCACTGCCGGAGGATCCCGGCCGCAGACCTGAGCTTGGAGAGCCGCGGTTTGTCGGGGTGTAAAGCTTATACCGTATGGGCTGTATGGGGCGTCCCTAGGCTCTCCCCAAGTACCCTTCAAGATACCCGAATGCCTCCAATCAGGTCCTGACCCTCCAGGAAGGGCTTCGAGCTCTCTAGTCTGGGGGCGTGGAGCTTCTTTCACATCATCCGCCGACCCCAGCCAAAGCGCTTGCGCCGCGCTGGCGGCGGAAGAGAAGACCCATTGTCGTCCCCACACGCACCAATCGCTTCTTTCACCCCCGCTCTCCTACCCCTTCCCCTACAGTGAAGAGTGCTTCAGTTAGCTCTCTGTGGCAAACTCTTTTCGGACCTGAGCCGTCCGGAAACTACTGTTGAGAGCTGACAAGCGTCTAAGTGCCAAGCACAGAAGCCTGTGCCGGCTTGAGAAAAAATGCGCATTGTGACGCTGAGCTGAGCAGGAGAAGCCGAATACTAACGAAGCAACTGCTGTCTTGGACTATGTTGCTGTCCCAGCTGCGCGTGGGCATTCAGAACAAGGACTTGCCGAGGTCTCCGGAAGAGATGGCTGATCCTGGTGACAAGCATAACTGCCCTAAACCCTAAACCCTTTTGAGCAACGGACTTTGGAGACTGCCGGCAAATATAAACCCTAAACCCTAAACCCTAAACATGGCGCTGCCAAGCTGGGCTAGGAGCCTCCGCTGCAGCTTGCATTCCATCCAAAACCACCGCTGGAGAGGTAGCACCGCGTGCCCTTAAAAGAACCCCTTCGGCGGCCATCTCAGCAGCTCATAACAAGCTCAGGATCACTCAGGCAATGGCTCATGTGGCTCGCGCTTCTGCATCTCATCAGATAGCTGCTTTCGCATCAGCTCCAGCTCAGACTTCAGTTGTTTTCCTTCGGCTTCGAGAACGCTTGACCTGGGATTTGCTGTCATGTGGAGAAGTACTTGGCTTACGTGCTGCTCTTGCTCTGGACCCAAAAGCGCCCTGCGAGTCGTCTCGTGCCACAAACTTAAGGAACGGGCTCCGACTCCAACTCGGCACAGCGCGTCTTCGCTGATGCCAGCTGACAGGAGGTAGCCAAGACGGCCTCGCCGAACCTGAGACACGCAGCGGTTTCTTCGGTTCAGGGGGGCCAGGAGCAGGAATTATGACTACTATTATTGTTAGGAAGGGGCCATCGCTCTGGACAGGTCGCTCAAGGGAACATGCCAGGCGTCTGCCTGCGGCTGCCGAAGCTGGGAACCAGGCTCCGAGTCGAGCTCGGTGTAGCCACTGCTAGGAAAAGAAGGAGCCTCCCAAAATTGCGAACTCAGAGAATGAGAAAGGCAGGAATTGCCTGATCACTTGCTGTTCTCGGGCTACCCTACTCCTGAGCCAGTTTAGGCCCCATCCAGGCTCATCCGCTCAGTTCGGTCCTGAACTTCCTGGGCCACATCTGCGGCTGGCAGGTCCCAAGGCTGGGGGAGGGTTTACGTACTCCCCCGCGCCTGAGATCTACAAGCTTGCTCGGTCACTTTGCGCAGCCCTTTCGCTTACGAGAGGAAGTTGGAAAAAACTAGAGAACGGTTGTCCCGAAAGCATTTTCCATCAACGATTACGAAGAACCTTCACGACACCCCGCGAACACGCAGAGGGTCGTCATACTTGCGTCTCGAAAACGCAAAAACACGCAGAGGGTTGTTGGCTGTCCTTTTTGCATCTGGACAACGCCAAAACATGCAGTTTTTGCATTCCGACAACGCGAAAACACGCAGAGGGCTGTCGTCCATGCGATCACGACACCGCGCGCCCGAAGAGGGTCATCGTTTTTGCGTTTCGACAATGCCAAAACACGCAGAGGGTTGTGGTTCGTGTGATCGCACGCAGAGGGTCATCGTTTTTTGCACTTTTTTTAATGAAGTGCGGCGGCTCCCGCCAACTCTACCCCGTGCTTTAAAACATTTTAATTTTAGGAGGACCCGCCAAATCCATCACGCTATCCATCCGGGCATCATCCATCACGCCATCCATTACGTCATCCTTATTACGACCACTCGCTAACGACAACCAACTCCGCTGAAAAACCCTCTCACAGCTTCTTCGTTTCCGAGTTTGTCGCCCGTTGCCTCCGGCTCGCCTGATTCGTGATGATTCGGCGGTGCCTCTGGCTCTGGACGAGGTCACGGCTCATGGAAAACATCGATGGTTCAGCCGTGAAATACCTGCCTGCTCCACAACATCATCGGCGGTGGCAGCTTGGACCTCTTCTGCCTGCGCGGATCGCACCCGGCAGGATTACAGAAAAGCCCCTGGCTTGATGTGCTGCCAGCTTCAGCCATTCCCGACCCAATCAATCTGCTAGTTGCTAGCTGGTACTGTCGTGGTGTAAGTTTCAGCAGCAACAAAGGAAACGATGGCCTCGTTTGTCAGGTCGACCGTGTCTGGCGTAGTTTCAGTCGCGACTTCGCGCTCCTGCTGTCAAGGCGACGCTGCAGCACAAAATGCCAACACAGCGCAGCTGCTGCCGTATTTGAACGGAATACTTGCGAACAGAGACGTGCCTGATCCAGACAGGCGGCAGGCAAACTGGATGCCTTGTGCAATGCTGTCTGCGGGCCGTCTAGACTCAGACATGTCACGATAGTCACTCCTACCACTCGGCAATGTAATGCATCACACAAGCACTCTGTTTGCAAATAGGGAGGGGGGGGGGGGGCTGCGCCTCCCTCAACCAGACTCTTTTATTCCGCGCAAAGCTTGTTTCAAAACATGTGAACCCTTGCCGACAATAACACCAACAACCTACCCAACAATAAATTCAATAAATCCCTCCATTGCAGGCCTCAGCTTCTGTTTTACACTCTCTCTTTTTCTCTCTCTCTTCCCCACCCTCGGTGTGGGGTTGTTGGATTAAAACTCTTCTCTTCGATCAGTCTACTCCGCGCCCATCACCAGACCCCAGAGTATTTTCCAGACAGAGCTTGTCTGGATCCCAGTTCAGCCCCCGTGGAGTGCGGAACGCATGGCCAGAGAGGTGCGGAGCGGAGAACCGGGGAGGATCCCCACAGATTGCCGGGAGTGCTCAAGCATGCCCAGATTCAGAGAGTCCTTGAAGTGCCCAAGCAGCCCAGTTTCCAACCCGGAGAGTCCCTGAACAGTGCCCAACCCCAAAGCACCCCCAGAAAGTCTTAGAGAGTCTGTGGAGTGCCCAACCCCAGAAGTTTTCAGAGAATCGGAGTGCCCCACCCCAGAGTGAGCTCGCCAGTTCCTTGCCTGCAGGGTGGGGAAGTTCGAAGTTGAGCTCGTTTTCTCTCTGACTCTCTGGTATCAATCGGTTCTTGCGCAAACCACGGGGAGCTCTCTACTCTGCGTTGCAGGTAGAATCCGGAACCCACGAGTCTTCAATAGAGAAGGCAGCTGACAGACTGATGATCTCGCGGCCCATCCTGGGGTCAAGGCAACCTTCTCGGGCGTTTCCATTTCCTGTCAAGGACTCTCCTCTCTCTGCCTCGGAAGCGAACACAACTGACCCCCTTGCGCTGTCCTCCATGAAGCTGAACGAGTCGCTTGAGCAGGCCTCCGAATAGGGATTCGAGTCGTTCTAGCTCACTCAGGGGCATCAGTTGGGCCAGCGCCGTCTTGGTTGGGGTCGAAAACGTGTCCTGCAGCCACATGAAGCCACGCAAAGCATGAAGCCCTCTTGTATCTGCTCCTGCGACAGCTTGGTGGTTGAAGATGATGGAAGAGGCGCCTCTTGCGAAATTCAGAAAACAAATGAAAGCCATCTGAGGATGGGTGTTTGAGAGACTAGACTGCATTAATGCCTCCTCCTCATCTGCATCCTGGCGCATACACCGCCCCGCAAAACCTGGGTCCATGAATTAAGGAGTCGAAGGAGTCCAAGCCGGTCCAAGCCCAAACCCGACGCTTCAGGGCAGTGCTTGCGGGCAGCATCGACACGACTTGCTTCGACTGCACAAGGGATGAGGGGATCTCTGGAGTCACCGGTGACGAGAACTACGTCAACTCAAAGTGTTTTGGTACCGCACTTCGTCCAGCTGCTCTGCGAGATCCCAGGCCAACTGGCAGTTTTTGCTCGGCTTGCCCGAAACGAAGTACAATGCACCAAAATGGTTGACGCTGAGATCCCCACCCTGCCAAGAAGCAAGAGTTGGACACTCGGAGCAAACGTCCTCAGACCGGACAAAGCCGACATCAGGAAATTGGCTTGGGCAATCATCGGCTCAGCCACGCCCACTGGTTCATCTTCAGCCGCAGGTCCTCCTCTCCATGAACCCATGCATTCACATGACGCTTCTTCCTTTGCATCGGCCCCATCATCCCCAGCTGCTTGCCTTCGCAGTCAACGTTGCCGACGGCGTTTCCTCCCAACAGCGCCGCACAAGAACAAGAACAAGAACAAGAACAAGAACAAGAACAAGAACAAGAACAAGAACAAGAACAAGAACAAGAACAAGAACAAGAACA